CAACTAAGAAGAACAGCTCAACTGTAAAATCTCCTGTGAAACTAACTGAAAACTCTTTATCATCTAAACCATCATCAAACCCTTCATCAGACAGCTACAAACCTTCCACAGCCGCTGAACGGCACAAACCAGACCCCCTAGATAGTCCATATTCAGATATTGACTCTGTCCCGAGGATTCTTTGCCCCAAACGTTCAGTGGAATTGCTGCAGGAGGCGGTGGCGAAAGAATTGAGCACTAAACCTAAGAAAGTACAGCCAAGTAAAAAGATGAAAAAAGCCAACGTGGACAAGCCGGTGAAGAAAACAGAGGCTGGTTCAAAATGCACAACAAACAGTAAGCTAAAGAAGTCAATGCCCAAAGAAAAAACACTTAGGGCTACGAACTCCAGACAGAAGGAAAGCAGTTCCCCGGGGTCCTCAGATGGGTCTTTTGCCATGCACTCTCATTATTTTCCTGCCAGCAATGGCTTAATCTCAAGAGCACTTGCCGCCAGGAGAAAGACCAAGGAGAAAGATTTAAGTCAGGAGCCAGAATCTCGTTCACCATGTGCTGGTGATGAAAACTTTTTTTACAACAAGTGCTCATCCCCCACCGACCATTCTGAGTTGTCAAAACATCAATGGCAGGTAAAAACAGAGGCCAGTGAAGAGTCCACTGATGACTCTAACTCCCACACACCCCTAAACCCAACTCTTACTAAGTTTACCAGAATCCGAAATGAGAAAAATGGCATTCATAATGGACCTCGACATAAAGGTTCCAAGTCAGATGTGAATGAATCCTCCCTCAATTCCGTTAAAATAAAAAATGAGAGCATGATCTCAGACACTTCGTCTTCATCCATCCCGTCTCCCTCGATCTCTCCTATGGATGCTTTCCAGGATATGAAGGAGCTTTCTTTCAGGTCTCTTGTCAAAGACGAATGCAGCTCAGGAGAAACTTCGCTCCTTGCCGATTCAAACTACAAATTCAGCACTTTCCTAATGCTCCTGAAGGATCTGCACGACAGCCGGGAGAAGGAAGGGAAACCTTTAACCCTCCCTCCCACTTCTCCATCCTCTCTCATCAGGGAAGAACCTTCTTCTATCCCACCTGGAGAAGCAGCAACAAATGAGGTGCTTTGTGAAAAGGACTGGAAGGCAATTGCGGATCAGAACAGTCGGCAGGGGAAGACGTCAACGCCAAAACAGGGCAAGGCCAAGCTGAAATCATCAGTGAAAAAGGAGATGCAAAAACACGATGGTGGGAACAATTTAGTTTCTCCACTGAAAAAGCAGAACTCATCAGTAGGTTTGGATGCACTTGAAAAGAGTTTGCCTCTGCTAGGGGAACTTTCCAACTCTCACCATGATGCTGTTCCTGATGTCTGTGGCAAGGGCACCATCTCCAAGGTTGCTCCTAAAAAGCGATGGCAAACATTTGAGTCTGGCATTGGGAAAAGCACCAAGCCAAAGAGCGATCCGGTTGGTTTGAATCAAGATGTAGTGAAGGAGTCCACAGATCTAAATGGAGTTTTCAAAGACAGTCTTGAAGAAGCGGCTCATTCTGACATCCCTGATAAAAAAGATGCTTCAGGTAACTTCAGGAAATATTAGATTAAGTCTCAAAAGTTAAAAACCTTATCAATGTTTTGGGCTAAATTCAGTGAATTTTGAATTATTCTGTTCTCAGAAAACAAAAGGCATAGAAAACCAAGCAAGAGACTGATTGAATGCAGTGAAGAATATGAGCAAATATTTTCCACAAAGAAGAAATCAAAGAAAACTCCCGAGTCCTTTAAAACGGTAAGCTAATTTTGCAACTCTTTACATTGTTTCTGTTGACCCAGTGGACTTCAACCTACAGAAATTGATCCTTTTTTTTAGTATTGAAATTTATTTTCAGTAACTCGCCCATAAAT